ACATGCCAACTAAAACTTTATATACAAAAATACATATTATTCACCTCTCTCTTCTGATCTGACATTCGGTAAGAAGAACTGACCTGTCTTGTTCCTCTTTACTTATCTTTTCACTTTCCAAACCTACATGTGAAACAATCACACGCTAAGTCGATGACTTAGTGAGGTATATAAAATATATAATATTTCATATAACATAAAACATACATAAACATATACCATCATTATCATAATCTCTATCATTATCATTAAGAAACACATATAACATCATATGGTTCATGTAACACATTTCAAACCACTTACTTTTGATAACCATTTATAAACCCATCGTATACATATCACATTCAGTATGTTTGTTTAATCTCTTTATTAGCCCATGTACACTAGTGAGAACTTAAGGTATGTGAGTAGGTTCCGAAGAACTAGTAAACTGTTAAATGTCCCGAAGAACATAGGTAAACAGTCCATATGTCCCGAAGAACATAGGTAAACAGTCCATATGTCCCGAAGAACATAGTAAACCCTCGACCCTTGGCATGCCAACTATACCACTAGCTCTCTATCACATAACATGGGCATTAACATTCATAACAGTTAAATTTACTTATTCATATCCTTTCTCTTATGAACATATATCTTTTGTTTTCAGTCACATACTAAATGTACGTGTAATCATTGATCTTATAATCACATGTTCATTCTCTCGGTCACATACCATATGTATGTGTAAACGTATATCTAATATCATATAACACGCATCACAAATGCATGTATTCACATAAATCATTTCTTATAGCTTTATTCATATCATATTCATATAAGCTCATATCTTTCATATACTTTCCATATAACTTATATCTCATAATCACACAAATCATAACATTGATCACCAATCAAATAACATTTTAGGAGTACTTCTTACCATAGTAACTCCATCACTGGCTCATCGCAAGCCAAATGTTTATTCAATATATAAGTACAAACTAAATACACTCACCTTAGCTTGCTTTGATTCGATTATAATCCTTCAATTGATCGGAACGGGATCACGTTTATATCTACATCATATATAGATCTATATTAGTATTATAACTAATACTAATGGTTCACTCCTTAGAATAAGAAAAATGACAATTTCATCTTTCAATGAAAGTATGCATCGATGCACTACTGATGCATCGGTGCATAAAATACATTCGATGTTGTATTATTACTGGTATGCATCGATGCACTACTTAGCACGATGCATGAATTGCATTCGATGTTTTTATTTAAAAGAGTGCATCGATGCACTACCAATGCATCGATACACCTTCAAACAATTTCTGGGTTTTAACCTTATGCATCGATGCACTAGAATGTGCATCGATGCACTCTGCCCAGAACCTCTTTTTGAACCCGAAAATCATCAACTCTTCACTCAAATGCTTCATATTTCATCCCCTTTCATATTCCTAACTTTCATATACATGTTCAAACTCATTTATAATCAATTATCTCGTCTTTAACCTTAATATCTCCTCTTTATTAACTTCAAGAATCATACCAGATTTTTAACATGTTTTAAATCTAATTCTAACACTTCATTCCTTAATTAGATTGATGACAAGTCAAATTCCTTCTCAAAATTCACTTACTAACTCTTTTCCAGAATTTCCTTAAGAAACTCATTTTCTTTAATCTTTCATAACTTCTTTATCTTTTGATTTTAGGACAACTTAAGCTTTCCATAAGCTTAAGTATTACCTAATGATCAAAACCACTCTTAAAATTAACAAGTAATCAGCTAACAAGGAATCTTACCTTTGCAAGCTTGGCTCTTCTCTCTCTCGTACATGAAGAAGAAGAAGAACAAGAAGATGAAGAGAATATCTCTTCATCCTTATCCCCTCTAACATATATATCTTATCATATCTATTTTTAATTCATTTATTAGTCAAATGACCATTTTCCCTCTACTTCATTTGATAATTACTAACAACTTTTAGGATTTATTTCCAGATAAATCATTAAACTAATCCATTCTTCTACTTTAATCACCAAATTTCTGAAACTTTACCATTTAGTCACTAACCCATAGTTTGGGATGTTACAATGGATATATCAAGGGATAAGAAATTAGGGAGGCTTTGTTTGTCTCAGAAAGAATATCTGAGGAAGGTACTAAAACGTTTTGGCATAAATGAGATGTCAAAACCAGTTAGTACATCTTGCTCCTCATTTCAAGCTCGGTGCATCAATGTCACCTAAGGATGATGCAGAATGGGAACATGTCAAAGGTTCCGTATGCAAGTGATGTTGGTAGCTTGATGTATGCAATGGTGTGTACGAGACCCGATATTTCACAGGCAGTTGGGGTTGTGAGCTGGTATATGCATGATCCTGGAAAGGAGCTTTGGCAAGCTATGAAATGGATTCTGCGGTATATTCTGAACACCGTAGATGTTTGGTCTTCAACATGACAAACAAGATGGTCAGTGTGTAGTTGGGTATTGTGATTCAGACTATGCAGGTGATTTGGACAAGCGTCGATCAATTACTGGTTATGTGTTTACATTTGCAAAGGCACAGTCAGTTGGAAGTCCACCTTACAGTCAAAGTGGCTTTGTCTATATAGATGGAGTATATGACAGTTACAGAGGCTGTGAAGGAGGCAATTTGGCTTCAAGGGTTGCTTGGTGAATTGGGAATGAAACAAGCACATCAAAGTGCACTGTGACAGTCAGAGTGTTATTCTTTTAGAAAATACCAGGTTACCATGCAAGGACGAAGCACGATGTTCGATATCACTTTGTAGAGAGATTCTAGAAGAAGGTGAGTCATAATCTAGAAGATTCGGACCACTGAGAATCCTGCTGATATGTTGACAAAAGTGGTAACTGCGGTCAAGTTTAAACATTGTTTAGACTTGATCAATATTGTTACAAATTAAAAGATTGTTTTTTAGAGATGTGTGGAATTTGCCAAGGTGGAGATTTGTTGGTTTTTGGCAAACCCACATTGGTTGTGTATAAGAGGAGGGAAATTCTTTGTTATAAAAAGTCATCCTCCTCCTTAGTTAATCATCCCACAAATATAAGTCTTCTTCTATATTAAAGGCTATTTGTATTCTTTCTCTCTTTGTAATATTTCCTCTATTAGTGAAATATTTTGGTGTTCTCTTTTATCTCTATTTAATAGCTATTGTCGGGTATAGTTGTTGTTAATTATTGTCCTATTAAAATTATTTGTCTTGGTAGTTCTGTCTAAGGAAAGTGGGTTTTAAGAGGGACCATTGTGACCCCTCCTCTTTTCTGGGAATATACCTTGGGTGATTTTTAGTACAATCGTTTTCACACTAGTCACCTAGATAATAGTTTCGAAGATGAATCTGTTATTGGTGGAAATTAATCTGAATTCCACAACAAGCTACCACCGTGTTATACGATAATTTGAAGAAAACAAAAAAAAAGCATATCACTTGCGATAATTGAACGTAAATAAAGTACAGAATGTTGCATTTCGTTGATTTCAATGAATCATTATTGGAAATGTGGTCAAAACTTGGTATTAATAATAATAATGTGTTAGGCCATCTTTAATCCTCATCTCTACTCTATAGGATCTATATCTACTTTAAGGATAAAACATAATTCATCTCTAACATTATCTCTACATTATCACAAACTCTACTTTATTCACAATATTTAACTACTATAATATTGATTTTACAAATATAAAATAAAACATATACATTTCTTAAAAAATATCAAGATAAAAAATATTAATAAAACATTTATAAATAACATTGCGAAAATAAAAATAAATAAGAAAATTACAAATAATAATAATAATACTCAATTAGTGCATTTCGTAGAACAAAATTAGTATGTTTATTCATCTAATTTCAATGTATTTTTATCTATCATACAATTTAATCTACTTAAATATATCATATTATGTTTAATATAATATAATAAAATAAAAAAAAACTAAAACTAAAAATAAAATAAATTAAAAAAACTTTTTTGTAGTGTCAGTTTCAGATATCTTCAAAATGGAGATGAGTTTGACACAACGCTGAACTACTTAAAGCGGAGATCGCCACATTCTTGCATAGTTGGAGATGCCCTTAGGGTGGTTAATGAGCATGAATGGACCCCAAAGTTAGGGTGGGGGAATTGCAATTTAATGTTTATAATTTTGTCAGGGATTGATAAGTGAAGAATAATTAATGTATGCCAAAGCATGATCATAAAGTTCCTACCGAGGAAATACATCTGACTTTGCCTACCGATTAGATTAAGTGTTGGTGGAGACCACTTTTTCTTTCCCCTTTTCCAACGAACTTTAAGATTTGTTTAACTTCGCTTTCTAACCTTTTCCTCACCCAGAGGAGGTCTGTTGAAGTTGGGCTTAAAGTTTTTTTACAACCAAATTCATCAACGTTTACAATGTTGTTAATTCTATTTTTCATTTGTCTCTGGAATTCAAAACTAACTCCAACTTATTTTAATACACTTAGAATATACAAGTAAACAAATTAACCAGTACAAATATTGAATTAAATAGTTTATTCATCCTATTAATTTTAGATTAAACACAAATGATTGAATTTTATTGAGTTATTACAAAATGATCCTGAAACGTTGTAACAAGTATAAAAATTTGATAAATTTTATTTTTTTGGGGATAAATTTGCTTTATTCATCCAAAAGAACCTGCTAATACAAATAAAATTTACAAGCCCCACTACAGCAACTCAAGGAATAAACCAAACAATATCAGAAAAAACAAATAGCAGTGAACAAAGCAAGAATTAAAAGCTCCTCTATATAGCATGAGCTGGCCCATTAAACAGATGCTGAAACTTAGAAATGAAGCTTCCTCTATTTTGCTTTCTGGCTCCAAGAAAGCTAATGATTTATGGAATGAGATTAAGGTAAAGAACCCTAAGGTGTATTGGCACTCCCTGTTGTGGTTTTCCGCTCCTCATCCCTAAACATAGCCTAATTGCATGGATGGCTTTCCTTGATCGCCTTCCTACAAAAGGAAGGCTCAATCGAATGGGGCTTGTTAATGACCTTCACTGCACTCTTTGTGGAGTAGGATTTGAAACTAGAAATCATTTATTTTTTGAATGTCCAATTGCCACTGCTTTATGGTCTGCTATTTTTGACATCAATGGTATTCGTTTTAGGCACACTTCTTGGGAAACTCTCTATAACTGGGCTATTGCTACTTGGAAGCGCAAATCCCTCCTCACTTCTTTAATGAAAATCTCTTCCAATGCTCTAATTTATACAATCTGGAAAGAAAGGAACAAGAGAATCTTTCAAGGTCAAGCTTCCACGATTGATGTTATGTTTAAAGCTATCAAGGAAACTGTTGGATTTCATCTAAGGGGAAGGCCTATCAATAGATTTGATACTGTAAATATTAATCTTTGTAACCAATGGGGTATAATTTGATTTTGTTTGTTTGCTTTTGATTTGGGACAATCCTTGTACTTCGAAAGCTCATTGTTCTTTTGAAGCAGTTCACTACTCTTTGGGTAATAAAAACTTCATTATCCAAAAAAAAAATTAAAAGCTCCATTCGATAACTAAAGAAAGATCTAAACTAGAGACTTTACTATATCCAATAAACGTTAGTCTAGTATCATTTTTTATCTGAGAAAAAATAGCAGAACATTGATGTGCTCCCCTCCCATGTTGCCTACTATTCCTCTTCTGCCAAATATAATAATTAAAAGCACATCAAGTATACGGATGATAGTAGCCCTTAAAGGTTTCCCCTTGTTAAACCTCTGCAGCCAATCAATCAAAATCATCCAACAGTTGTGAGAAACAGAGTGCCTACAAATCAACTGCCGACTTGACTAGAATAACAACACTTAATAAAAAGATGATCACGCGTTTTCAAAGCATCACACAAAACAAGCAAAGAGGATCAATTTGGCAGCTCCATCTTATCATCATGTTCTTTGTTGGTAGTATATCATACACTACCAACAATGAAATAAAATAATGTCGAGGAATGACCAACCCTCCCCCATACAACTCTGAACCAAGACACCCAATGTTGTTTGTGCCTAAACAACTCCCATACCTGCCTTGCCTTGTACCCCTCCTGCAAATTACCAATAAAAGTCCAATCATCTCTAAGCTTGCTTAATTTTTTCCAAGTCCAACTATAACTAATCTTAACTTGGGATTGTCAGATAGTGCAACCTTTTAACAAATATTTCTCCACCCAAACTACCCAAAGAGAACCATACTGGGATAGAATCAACCACAAACACTTTATCATGTAAGCTTTATTCCAGACTAAGATGTCCTTAGCCCCAAGTCCCCCTTCATACTTAGGGTGATAAATTCTCTCCCAACTGACTTTAGCCCCACTAGCAGAAACATCACTTCCTTTCCAAAGAAAAGCAGCGCAAATCTTTGTAATTTGCTTTATGACCTTTTTAGGCAGCAAAAAAAAACCTACTCCAAAAGTTTTGTATAACTGCCTGAATGAGTTGTAACCTACCAGCAAAAGATAAACATTTTGCAGTCCAACTTCTAATCCTCACAAATTTTCCCTATAATCCCTCACAATCAGTATAAGATAAGTTTTTGGTAACAAGAGGGACACCCAAATTTCTCACAGGCAATGATAAAATAATTACTGATTATTTGGAGTCCCATGGAGGGCATTTCATAATTTGGAGGTCTCCTACGGAAGTTGCTCTCAACCTAGTGTTGGGGGCAGCCTACTATATTACCTCCCCTTAGCCCATTACATATGGGAACAAGGGACAACCATTTTATGATCATTTTATAAAAATAATTACTAATCATTTGAACACATGTACTCTACCATTAATAACTAAAATAATCATTTGAACCTATGTACTCTACCATTTCGAATAAGTTATTTTTACTTAAAATTTTATTCTTATTTTTACTAGTTCATAATCCATATAGCTGGATTTGGGATTTTGGACAGGTATCTTGGGACAATCAAGCTTCGATTTGGTTTATGATTTAGAGTATTAAGTGGACCTTCATTTCGGTTGCCTTTGTCCACAAAGGCACAAATGTCCAACTTAGATTAAACAAAATTCAAAGGTTCACAGAGTCGTAAACACTTCCCATTAGACTCGAAGATTGCATTTCTTAGACCAAGTCTTTTCCTACAGGTATCTTGGGACAATCAAGCTTCGATTTGTTTATGATTTAGAGTTAAGTGGACCTCATTTCGGTTGCCTTGTCCACAAGGCACAAATGTCCAACTTAGATTAAACAAAATTCAAAGGTTCACAGAGTCGTAAACACTTCCCATTAGACTCGAAGATTGCATTTCTTAGACCAAGTCTTTTCCTATTAATTTATTAAAATGAAGATTACATGTAGAATTCTTTATTTGAATTATTAGACTAACGCATGTGCAAATTGCAATAATTAAAAGCAAATTTTGATTCTTATTTTGGAAGAGCGACTCACTCAACTCATACGTTCCTGCTATTGGACTCCTCAATTCCTCTATTCTAATAATTTAAAAATCAAACCCAACATCAAATTCTGAGGTTACAGATCACAAACACACCACTTACACTTGTTTCTTCCACTTTTAAACAATCAAATTTACCTGAAGGAAAATGACGGGAGAGAAAGGTAGCTGCCCGTGACCCTGCATCGCCCAACAATCTCGTACAATTTTATTTTATTTCTTGCATTGTCAAAGAGAACCCATTCAAACGCGGCAGCCTGACTTGTTCTATTTTTCCAAACCTCGACTTTGTTGTGGACTATGCTGGTGTGCTGGTCAAGTCTCCAACTCTTATAAGCACCACAAATGTTCCGTTAGTTGACTCAGCCCAAGTGATCATTTGACATCAAAAACCTTTCTCATTAATTTATCTATTATCTTAGACAAAATATAAAGTGAACTTTTAAAGTGGTAAATTGGAAAATTAACGACTTAGAAAGTAAGGTACTCGGCCTTAGAAATGGGCTTTTGTTTTGTCCAAAGGAGCATAGTTGTAATGAAAAGAATGGGTAGTTGAAGGCATTACGTATTAGTATATTTGGAAACAAAACATAAACGACGAGTGTAGGGGATTATGGTTTAGGGTTAGATGATATGTATGTGGGGGTGACCGGCCCGAGAATTGAGACTGATGTCCCCTTTCTTCTCTCTTTAGTGGCCCTTAGAAATGGAGTGTTGTGGGGGCAGTTTCCATTACAAATATATTATTATGCCTGGGGGGGGGGGTGGAACCTCAACCTTGGCTTTAATCCAAGCCTTACTTTTGCTGACCTCGTTTGTTGCCCTCACCCTTTTCAGTCACTGCTCGCCCTCTACTCTCCATTCATGTCCACTGTTAATTTATTTTCAAGTATTTGGACGTATCCATGTTTCATGAAGATTCCAGCTCTGGCAAGTGGCAATTAATACAAAGCAAAGAAAAGCAAGTTGAAGGGAACAAGAAGAAAGGCTTCAACAAATACCGACTAAACCAATTGATTGAAGTAGATAACAACAGCATCACTAGCCAATCTTATGCTTGTTTTCTTATGTATAAATATTGTAAGCATGTTGGGTTGACAGATGCAGGGTATCTTCATTTACACCCAGAGCACTTTATTCAGTGACAGAATCAATTGTGGGAAAAAGATCATCTATTTTCTGATCCCTATAAGTTTCCATCAATCATAATTTTATAACAAAGCTAAACTCTAATTATATGAATTGAACTTATAGCTTAAACTAGAAGAAAAAGGTGGGCGACAAGAAAATCTTTCTTATCAAAAGGTTGCTTCAAGAACAACAAAAACATAAACTACCCATTTTTACGTTGTAAGAGGGTGTAATATACAAGAAACAAAAAAAGATAAGAAATTTCATTCTTCTTTCTCTTACACAGAGAAAAATCGGATGGAGTTCAACCCACCTCTTTTCTTGGATTCTTGCCTAAATTCACTGCCCCCAAACATTCCAAATCCTCTCTCCGATGAAGTTCACGAACCTCCTAACTGTACTCTTCTCTGTTCCTTCTTCTTCACCATCATCCCCACAAACTTCACCACCACAACTACTGCTACTCGCTTCCACCGATTTCAACTCACTCGACTCATCCTTTCTTAAGCTCAAATCGACTCGTTCCAAGCCACCAGACCCATCACCGCCGTTTTCCTTTTTCCTGTCTTTCTTGCTCTTTGTCTTCTTGCTTTGAGATAACCCATCTTCAAAAGCATCAATTATCTCGTGTATAAGCTGCCGGTTCGGCGACGAGTCCCACCTGACCCAGTAACTCATGTAGCACCTGAAACAATCACATGTAAAAAGAGGTGGATGATCACGATCGCTGGCGCTTCCGCTGCTGCTTCTTTTAGTCTGATATTTCTGGGTGTTTTTGCCGTGGGTTGAAAAGTTGTCGAGATCGTTGTTAGAACAAGAGATGAGATAGGCCAAGACTTCCCTGTCTTCTGGGGAAAGAGCAGCCGCAAGGGTTAAGATGGTGAACGGAAGGCAGGACAGATGATCTGTTGTGATCGGAGGTGATGGATGAACCGTGCCTCTCCCGTAGAGCTTCTTCATGGTCAAGTTTGGTTATCAGAGAGAGAGAGAAAGAGGAGTAGTTATACGACTTTTGAAAGGTTTAGGAGGTTTATATTATTATTCTACGAGACAGTGAATAATATAACATAACATAGGTTGATGACGTGGGTTTAGGGTTTGGGGACATTAGTATGGGGAACTGTGCGGCCAAGTGATTCGCGGGTCTTAAATGGTGAACGGTGGAGTGAATTGAAATCTGAATCATATCTTTATAGGTTTAATTAGTTTATTGAATTGTTTCATAAAAATAGAAATTTTATTTTTTAATGAATTGTTTTAAGCTTATTAATTTCATTTAAAAATTCGGTAAATTAATAAAATGTTACATACATTTCGATCCGTTCTTAATTTAATGAGAAAATTAAATAGTTTATCTTTTAATTTTTTATTTTATTTAGTCTTTAAAAGATTTAATTTATCCTGAATTTTATAAGTAAATTTAATGTTTATTAATAATATTTTATTTAAATATAAAATTAAATAAAAAAGATAATTGGATAAATAAAATTTATATATACTCCATGTCGTTTCGAGTTGCAGTTGGTGCAGTGATTGAGTGATGGTGATTGTTCTCCATTTGTCTCACTTCACTGTCCCCCTTTATACGTTAATGTAATAAAATAGGTTTGGTGGGTACCAATACCAATGGCACTCCTTGAACAACTACAAAAGTATGCTTTGGTTAGGCTTTAGCTGATCCATGGACCGACCCTATTCACTCTTAACGGTGGCATTCCACGAACTAGGATACTAAATTCCAAGTCGAGTACCATACTTGTTCCCATAGTGAATTATGGGTGTGTGTTTTTTTTTGGTTAGCGTTTGAAGCTCGAGGCAATGCATAGGCTCAGGTTTGAATATATATACGGCCTTAAGCTCGAAATTTACACAATCGTGGACACACTCGTGCAAGCCTTGACATAAGCATCATTTCTTAATTGAAGAACTAGTAGCAATTAATTACTATAGCCAGCTTTAAATATAAATAAGAAAACACTAGCAGCCATTAATTACCAATTTAGTAAATGCCAGGGCAACATCTTTTCTTCCATCTCTTCCCCTAACCTACACTCTGAATTCATTTCAGTTTAAGCAAAGCAGCTAGATTTTAGTGGTAAAATATAGTATAGTTTTTCTTTTCTTTTTTACTGTAAAGATCAATTGCATACAACAAATAACAAATCTGGCTCTTTCACATAAATGATGAATAATGAATTCCCAGCCAACAGAAGCGTTATAAACAGTACGATGAATTTTAGGGCATCGCAGAGACTTTGCTTGTATTCCTTCCTGCCTATTTCAAATAAATGCGACAGTTGGTAGGTAACAGTTTCTATGAAACTGAAGAGGTTGGATCATACAACCTTCTCTGTACTTCAAGTTTAGAAACTTATGTCTTACATAAAGCAACAATACAGAAGTCGACTCCAACTTATGATAATCTGGAGATGAAAAATATCCTCATACGTCACCCACACCTGTATTATAATATCTAATTAATTAACAAATATCGCTACAAACCAGTGACAATAATTAGATGCCATTCTCAAGATACTTAAACCTTTAAGAAGAACTTTGTAGACGAGTCTTAATCCATGATTCAAGGTACTGCAGCTCTTCGTTGCTTATTGAATGGCCAAGACCAGGATAAGCCTGTAGCATCACAGGAAATTTGGCAGATCAGCAGATGCCATACAAAAAGCACCAGAAAAACGGGGAAAAAAAGAAATATTTGGCATATATACCTTGAATTCACAGGTTACTCCTATTTGTTCAAGGAAAGGGGCCCCTGCTTGTCCAGCCTCGAAAAGTACTGTTCTGTCAGCCATTCCGTGGGACCATAAAAAAGGTGTCTGCACAAGTTCAGGTGTCGCACCATCCGTAAGCAAGTTTCAAAATAATGAGAAGATCGAATTGGTTCAGGAAGAATTCGTAATCTAAGAAAACCAGCAGCCGATGGCATATTATTATCCATGGAAGAATAACAAGAACAATTAGCAATCGCATCTTTGTGAATAAGGATACCAATGGTAGTTTATAGGACTGATACTGTCACTGAGCTGGAAATATATCTCAGACGAGGAGATTCTAGTCAAAATATATCAATCAATTACCAAGCATTAAATGCAGCCAACAGAATCCTTTCTGATAACAAGACATTAAGAATCTAATATCTGCTGACATTTCTAGGTTTGACAGACTCCAAATAAGACGGGAAAAAGGAATGAGGATAAACTAATAAAGTACTAGCAAACTAGATAAACTTGCAGCATTTGATGAAAACCACCTTCTTTGCATCTTCTGGGAATTTTTTTATCATTGAAGAATTGAAAGGAACCCATCCACTGAAGACTGCACCCCCACCAAGCTTTTTAGGGTATAACAGAACACTAGCCAAGGTCAAGGCACCTGAAAGAAGTTGTTAAATTTGCAACGTACCATAAGTAATGCAGTGAATTATGCTATGATCCCTGGTGATAGATTTCCTACCTCCTTGACTAAATCCACACACAAATACGTTATTAGGATTCGTCCCAGCAGCCACTTCTTTGTCTATCATGGCATGCACATTCTGAACTGCTTTAAGGACATCACTTTCAGCTTTTGGAGAATCCTATATATATAAGCAAAACCAACCATCTAACTCAATCAGGAGCACTGTGAGCTGAGCATTCACATCATCATGATGGTAAAAGGTAGAATTGGTTGTAAGAAGGTGTGAACTTTTCAAGAGAAACAATAAAGTAAAGGAAACATTTGCATGACATTGACAAATAGCCTAATGCAAATATCTTTCACCTTATACATGGCACTACAAGTACCAAACTATAATGAAGTTTATGAGCAGTGAAGGCTTAGAACTTACTGTCAGGAAACAGGTTGACCCCAAAACTAGGGAATTGTACTCATGGCCACTATGCATGGTGTGTTGGAATAATCAGAAAATAAAAGTTTGAAAATTAAAAGTGAAAACCTATGAAAAGTGCCATCTATGCTATTTTTGCAGAGGAAATAGAATTCAGTAAACTATAACCATAAAAAATCCGTGGGTTGTGCATTTTTATAATTCGTGGCATACACAGAATCTGGTTGTGACAGAAGGCCAACAACTCGTGATGATTTAGTCCTTCTAAGCATGCCTGCATATGCATTAAAGTTAAAACAGAGGACCAATGGTAGGACAATAAAGATGTAACTCATATACCTACATCAGATAATCTACTCTTTGCTTAATAAGCAATAGTTGGCAGTATTTCATACCACCGAAACTCAGTTTTACTTTAGTGAAGATAAGAAACAAAATGGACTAAAATCCACTCTATATATGAATCAACAATGACGTGTACATAAATTTGTTATACCGGTACCTAAAAGACATCTCAAAGAGAAATGTCCCAGCAGTATTGGTATAAATGAAATGGAAGGAGAACAAGCAACACTTACAGCTGTCACAGGAATCTCATGGATGTCGAACCAAGAAGGCATCCTCATTCCATCTGCCAATGAAAAATACATCAGCAAGAACAATTGCGGTATCATTATGAATGATAATCAACTGCTCTAAAAAACGTCATTCTCTTAATAATAAGTCTAAAGATGACTCGTGACACCAGTTAAATTGTCTGAGATATAGAACTTTTAAGAGAACCATCTGTCACAGTAGTGAAACCTCAATAGATGAGCCATCAAAACATACACAGGCTCAAAAGGGCAACTAAGAATATTTGCACACCAATGCTGAAAGATCGTGGAGCAGTTTGAAATCGAAACCCTATGCTAAAACTAAACTAACCCCTTGCTAAGAATTTGTTCTCGTTAGCTCCACGCCGTTCTCTCTTACTAGCATAATTGGAATACCATCTTTCAATTGAACAAAACGAACAAAGTAACGTAATAAATTCCAAATAAGAAACGGGATTCCGTACTTGAAGTTGATCATCGTCAATCACTCCTATACACCCCTGACCCCCCAAATAAATAAATAAAATCCCAGTTTATTAACCGCCACAAATTACACAAAAACTCTAATTAAACTAGAAAGATTCAGACCTGTACAGATCATTTCATTTAGAACACAAAAACAACAGTCAATAAGCAGAACCAATTCGTGAAAGAATGTAAATGAATAAGCTTACAGTTGCAGGTGACGGGGTTTTCAGGAGCAGAAGGGAAAGACCACTTGGTGTTTCGGAACTCGGGAGACCTAAAGAGTGTCTTTATGGGTTCATTAGCTGGGCCGGAGTCACCAAGGCCGTGAAGCCAAAGAACAAAGCTCCGAGCAGCCATGGAATCCGGCTTTGGAGAAGAAGATGACAGGTGACGCGGTTGAATCAATAGAATGAAAATGATGGTGCTGCCGAGTATCACAGCAAGAAGAACAGTATGGTTGATTTTCATTCTATGTTTCTCTCGGAATGCAGTTGGTATCCAAGCCCAAATTAGCAAGCAGCAAGGACCCACTAAGAACGTGGCCCAGTTCTTGTTATTAGATATCCATGGAATTTCTATTTGTTAAAACTGGGTAATTATAGTTTTCTCTTTTAATGGAGCTGTGTTCATATATGTGCTGAAAGGTAGGTCCTTTTGGCAAGTGAGTCACTCGGCTAGTTGTGGTTGGGTTTGGAGTTTCTTATTGCGCTCAAGGGACAAGGCGGCCACTTTGGGAGTTGCCTTGGCTGATTCCTCAATGACGATCACAGATATTTGGGAAGTTATTCGTGAGCATGGAGTGAGGGTGCTTTGGGACTGATTGATTTGACACTCGAATAATATCATGAAGAACTTCGTCATCTTTGGATGACAGTGTTGGAAAGTCTTCTCGTTAACTTGGCGTTTGGTTGGATGAAATTTTTGTAATTAGTAGAATTAGAATCTAATTTCATCAATTTCTCATGTTTGATTAAAATTTTTAAGAAAATTAGAATCCCTTATGGAATTCAATTTCATCAAATGAGGGAAAGTGAATTATATCCAAAAATGGATGGAATTTAATTCCTTTGTTGGAGAGAAATGAAATTTGATCATACTACCCTCAT